CAAAATGCAACCACACTGTCAACAGAAAGATGTTCTGTGGCCCCTATATCTCTAAACATAGACATACAACTCAAAGGGGCACAAGTAAATCCAGTTTGGGCTTTATTGTTAAACTTGATTAAAGTCAGCATTACATCACTTTGGTTAAGCTATATGAGCAGTACTATTGAGTATCTGCAACCTGTATAGCCATTCATGAGGCATAACTCAAGACCACGTAGATATCAGAGGCATATACACTCATACTAGTTGTGTTGAAAATAGGTTGTGCCAATTTACCTTTTCGTACATGTTATGAAAATGGAAATCCATGTCGTGAAGCTTCCATTGATGGTGTCAGGCACAGCAGAATAGTTCAGGACAGGCCACGTTCATATGAGTTTTTCTGTTTTCATAGACTGTGGAAGAGGATGATGACAAATGAGAGTAGGTCAAATTGCCAACTGCAGCTGTTGCTTGGTCCCAGCTGACTCTATGGCTGATCTGGTACCTTGCAGTATGGGATCTAGCACACAAAAGAGACCATTAATCCCTTCCTTGCTTCTCAGGGTCTAAGATTTTCCTTTCCCAGGGGCCAGGTTGTTGCTCTTTCTCCACTACCACAAAGGTGGTGTGACCTTTCTAGCAGCTAAAACTTTGCCCTAGAGTAACCATAACCTTTTCTAGTCCTTTCTCGATCATGCTCAAAGCTTTTGTATGAAAGGTACAAGCAGGAGGTATAAAGACATTTTCACGCCATTTACAGAGACCAATTATATTTGCCACTTTGGCTGTCCGGGGCCCCTACTCTAACTCTTAGAGTAGTGTACTAAAATAAATGGTAATTATCTTTATGATCAAGGACCACATTTATCCAAACAAAGAATCCAGATGATGGAACTGGAATTCAATTTTAGTACCATTTTGAGTGGACTGCTACTCAGAAGATATACCAACCAAACTGGTCTGAGACTGCTGCTCAGAGAAAGAAACATCGTGCTTTCCATTTCTGGAAAGTTGAAATAGGTCTACTTCCTTCTACTCTTCCTGTTAAGTACAGTTAAAGACCTTGGAACTTATGTAAAAACAAAACACAAAAAGGTGGAGAGAAGAAGACAAATTAGTTAACTAACTTCGGACTTGAGGAATGACAGAGCTATGAATTCCCTGAGGTGTTTTGTTTGTTTGTTTGTTTGTTTGTTGTGGATTTTGTTTGTTGTTTTGCCTCATGTAACCCAACTGAGTTCTGAAGAAGCCAGGTAAGCTGGAAATGCCAATAGATGGAGATTAAAAAGTTCAAGAAAAGGCTTCTCTCTCTACTCAAAGAACAAGGAAAAGGACAATCTAGAAAGACAGAAAAACTTAAGACAATAGCCAGTCTACTCCAGCTCAGCACCACAGAAAGTTACATAGCAACCACGCCAACACTTAAGAAAAATGTAACAAACTTGATAGGAGAGCTCTGTGTCATTGTGTCATTTGAATTTATCCTTGCTCCAACAGCACATCACTGGCTCCATGATAGTCTTTAGATGGCAGCCTGCATTCCCAGTGTGGGTTCCTGGTGGTGGAGGGAGCAGAGCAGACCTTGTTATCAAAGAATAGTGCTTAGCTGTTTTGTCCTGTCAGGTGGCTCCCTAAAGAACTTGGCAAAGCTCTTTGGCAAAGACTTGCCTGTATTTCATATAACTCAGAACTCCCTCAGAGCAGAGAAGTCACTACAGAGAGGAAATTCTCTAAGGAAAAAAAAAAAAATCACCAGAAGAAGTTAAATCAGATTTGAGCAGGTAAAAGAAAGAATCCACAAGCTTAAAGATGGGTCAAATGAAATTACCCAGTCTGAGAGCAGAAAGAAAAAAGAATAAAGAAAATTGAATGGAGCCTGAGAGACCTTGAGAGATTGTAAGATATACCAACAGAAGTGTAATAGAAGTCTCAGAGGGAAGAGAGAGAAAGGGGCAGAAAGAATATTTAAAGAAATAATGACCAAAAAGTTTTTAAATTTGATGGAACATGAATCTACACATTTAAGAATCTCAATAAACACCAAGTAGGATAAAGGTAAAAAAAAAAAAAAAAAAGGCCACATTGAAGCACACAATAATTAAACTGTTGAAAGACAAAGATAAATTGAGAATCTTGAAAACTGTAAGAGAGAAGGGATTAATTACATGCAAATGATACTAATCAGATTAACATTCAAGTTCTCACAGAAACCATGGAAGCCAGAAGGCAGTGGAATGATATATTCAAAGTACTGTGTGGGCACCTGAGTGACTCAGTCAGTTAAGTGTCTCACTCTTGATTTTGGTTCAGGTCATCATCTCACAGTTTGTGAGTCCAAGCCCTGCATCAGGTTTTGTGCTGAAAGCACAGAGCCTGTTTGTGATTTTTCTCTCTCCCTCTCTCTCTGCCCCTTCCCTGTTGGTGCTCTCTCTCTCAAAACAAAGAAATAAACATTAAAAATAAATAAATAAATAAATAAATAAAGTGCTGAAAGAAAAACCTGTCACCCCACAGTTTTATACATGGCAAAATTTTTATACATGGCCAAAAAAAAAAGTTTTATACCTTTCGAAAATAAAGAAAAAATGAAGATATCCCCAGATGAACAAAAGCTGAGATATTCATCACCTGTAGATCTGCCCTACAGGAAATTCTAAAGGGAGTCCTTCAGGCTGAAATGAAATGGCACTAGACAGCAACTTGGAGCCATAGCAAAATAATAATAATAATAATAAACCCTAGAAAAGGCAACTACATAAACAAAGATAAAGCCAGTATTTTTTGTTTGTATCTCCTCTTTTTTCCTGTATGATTTAAAAATCAAATGCATAAACAGCACAGCTATGTTAATGAGAATACAATGGGTAAAGCTGTGTGTGTTTTCATGTATATACAGACCTCGTTTATTGTTGTTTTTAATAGTAGAGCTCATGTATTTCAAATGGACACAACATTACTAGCATCTGCAATATCATGAGATCAATTCCCTTTGAATAGGAGCCTGCTTTGCAGTGCTTTGAGGTTCACAAGACATCTAAAAAATGGACTAGTGTAAAAAATGATGACTACTTAAATCAAATGAGGGAAGGGACTTTGGATTTTCTTTTTGATTGATCACCTTAACACTGTCCTTCAATCATCTGAAGGAGTTCCATTTTTCTTTAGACATCACTAGCCAAAACGGAAACATTTGCAGGAAGGACAGCTTTGCAGCGGTATGATTTAGGTCATTTCGCCAGCACTGACATGACTTTGTATCCACCACAATATTAGGTCCATTAACCAGTTATATTCAGTTTTGTTACAGATCTCTAAAAAGGTCAGGATCCTTCTTAACAAAGACTGCACCTAAGGTCTCCATTTTATTTTTAAATAGACTGTGGAGGTTGCCATTTTCTGTTGTTGTCATATCTTTTTTTAAATGTTTATTTATTTATTTTGAGAGAAAGAGAGAGAGAGCAGCAGAATGGCAGAGAATGAGGGAGAGAGAGAATCCTAGGCAGGCTCTGCACCATCGGTATGGAGCTCGACATGGGGGTTCAAACCCACAAACTGTGAGATCATGACCTGAGCCAAAATCAGGAGTTGGATGCTTAACTGACTGAGCCACACAGGTGCCTTCTCCTTTGGTTTTTACATTTACTGAGAAATGGCTATGTGGTTTCTGCCAAATGTAACGTGCCCTTTGAGAAAGGGGTTTTATTTTATTTTTTTTAAAGTTTACTTATTTATTTTGAGAGAGACAGGAACAGTGTGAATGGGGGAAGGGCAAAGAGAGAAAGAGAGAGACACATGGGGCTCAAGCTCACAAAACCACAAAATCATGACCTGAGCCCACCAAACCACGCAGGCACACTGAAAGGGATTTTAAGATTAACATCTTCTCCCACCTTCTGTTTCCTACACAGTTTTCAGTGGGAACAGGAAGGGCCTGACCAGTGCATCTTGGCTGAATGTTGATTACACGGCTCTTGAACAGAACAGGGCTCCTGCACTGCTGATCCGTAGCCCCCAGCTTCTGCAAGGACACGAGGCAGAAGGGACAGTTGTCTGTGCTTGTTTCTCTGTAGTCTCAATTAAGCTCCTGGCATGTATTGCCCTCTGATAAATCTGGTTAGCTGGCGAGGGTAGGACGGAGATGCAGAGAGAGCAAGACCAGGTCCATAACTTTTGGAAATGAATCCCTAGATACTGGGACTTTCTGGAAGAAAAGGAAATAAGAGGAATCAGACCAAAGAATAGATACACTAGATTTTATACATCATCTAGGCAGGCCCATCCCTTTTCGAGTAGTAGTAGTCATCGTCGTCATCATCTAAATAAGCACTATTTTGACTCACGTGGGTCACTGGTGCCAAACGGTATGAAGAATTCCAAGTTTCTCTAGTCCTTGGCCTTGTTAAAAAATAGTGATCAATTTTGAGGTGGAAACATTTTATTTGGTCAGATTTTATGCTGTTCTTCCTAGAAAGGATTCTTTTGAGTTTGAATAAATTGCTTTAAAAATCGGCGGTGAGGGCATGAGATAGGAAGTGTCGGGCCTGCTGTGGAAAAGAACTCCACAATATGAAATGCTCCCTGAGTCACAAGAACCTCACCGGATGTCTGACACAGAATACTCTGTAGCTGCTTTTTCCGTGCAGGAAGGTGGCTGTTTTCTAGAAGTGCTTTTGCTCAGACAAGTGTTGCCATTTGCTATAAAATATGTACACATACACATCTCCCCCTCCCCACACATGTTGACTTGGACCGTACGGTTCTTAAATTTTTAATTTTATTGAAGTGGCAGATGTTTACGGTTACCAGTTCATATAATAAAGGTCTACATTTTGAACATATTTTGGATCACTATCGTGAGTCCACAAGATGGCAGTGTTTTCTCAGGGACTGAGAAAGCTCTCAAGTTTTCCTGAGAGAGAGAGAGAGAGAGAGAAGACAAGAGGTGGGGCTTGGTGGTGCAGGAGGGGCGGTGAAAAAGACTCTTTTCTTCTAATTGGTAGAACGAATTTTTTCTACGATTCCTAAAGCAGAAGACCTAGAAATGTTTGAGCCAGACTCTTTTTTTTTTTTTTTTCAGGGCTTAAAATTTGAGTCCTCAGTGAACCAGGGGAAGAAAGAATAATGAAGTGCTTGAGAGTTTTCCTAGTGGTCCTGTGGCTTCAGTTAACCTGTGAGTTTTGGGCATCTCTATGGGAATGTAAAGAACAATATTTGGAGTTAGTATCTACTCTGGGCCCTGTGGGTAGAAACATGGAGGGTTGAGGTGGAAGTCCCGTGAAAAATCATTTATATTCTAGAGACTAAGTATCCACTACCCAATGAATCCTCTTGGACTAACTGCTGTCTTTCTGCACAGGGGTGACGAGTCAACAGAAGGGTGTGGAGCAGAGTCTTGTATCTCTGACAGTTCTGGAGGGAGACACTGCCTCTCTCAACTGTAGTTACAGTGACAGTACTTCCCAGTACTTCGCGTGGTACGGACAGTATTCTGGGAAAGGCCCCGAGTTGCTGATGTACATGTACTCCGATGGTGAAAAAGAAGAAGGAAGATTTACAGGGCTGCTCACTAAAGCAAGCCGGTCTCTCTCCCTGCTCATCAGAGACTCCCAGCACGGCGACTCTGCTACCTACCTCTGTGCAGTGAGCGCACAGTGCTCCCCTGGCCCCTGCTGTCTGTACTCAAACCCACTGCTGCCCCAGCAAGGCCTGATGTAGAGCCTAGGCTGCAGGGAAGAGAGATTCTGCTCGCTCTCTAGATGCAAATGGGAATTAAGAGCATTCTCCATAACCATAGAATGTCCCATACCCACGGGCAGGGCGGGGGAGCATGGAAGGGCTTCAGATTTCATGAGAAGGATCTCTGAGCAAGTACCTAAAAGGATTCTACACACGGAGGAGTTTTGTTATGGTGATTAAAGGCCTTCATGGATCAATTATCGAAAACATACGGTATTGAAGGGGGCACCTGAGTGGCTCAGTTGGTTAAGCGTCTGACTTTGGATCAGGTCATGATCTTGGGGTTTGTGAGTTTGAGCCCTGCATTGGGCTCTGTGCAGACAGCTCAGAGCCTGGAGCCTGCTTCAGATTCTGTGTCTCCCTCTCTCTCTGTTCCTCATCCCTCTCAAAAATAAACATTAAAAAATAAATTAAAACATATGGTGTTGAAGATGTCTTAGAAAATGTTGTGAGGAAAGTTGATAACACCGAAGATCATATGAAGACCTCCCTCCCCTACCCCTTGGCACTTTGGAATTGTCCTGCAACATATGTCCAAGTCCAGGAAAAAATGTTGGTGGCCTGAAAGAAATAAGGCCTTGTTATAGATGTTCCAATTACAGGGAAAAAATGTAGAAGTCACATTTATTGTAAAGCTTATTGTGTTCTTTTAGACAGGGCATTGTTGATGTAGTCCAAAGGGTAGGAATACCCGGAAATGGGCAGCTAAGATTGCTGTTCAGTTTTGTTAAATTCTCAATGGCTAAAAGGATGCAACCCAGTCGGGATTTACTTCAAATTCTCATTCTGTGGACTGAAGACTCTTCACAAATATTTCTGAATCATAGAAGAAAGATTTGAAGAGCAGTGAGAAAGGGCAGGAAGCTGTGTTGGAATCACGATATTCTAATTCTAGTTTCACCTGTGTCGCATGCCTTCTGATGTCATGGCGCACTGGAGAGAACTTGCTCTGTTTGAATATCTTTTATGTTATCCTTGGGCCATTCGATCTTAGGCCCATAGTACATATATTTCTGTCATATATATTTCAGGATTGATTTCAGGATTAAATGAGATTTTAAATATATATATATAAATATAACATATATATATTTATGTGAGAAACATAGTAATATATATTACTAGATATATATTACTAATCATAATGTATATAATTATTACTATATAAAATATGTAATTATAATATAGGTGTATATTACTATGCTGCTCACATGTAAATGCAGTAGCTGGATAGAGCATATAGAGGAAACTAGCATAGCTAATCCACACATTGACTTTCAATGACTTTCAGGGGACATTGACTTTGTCCCCTGTCTTGTGTTCTGTCCCCCCTGCCCTCCATCATGCTCTTTTTCAGCTCAGAGCATCTTCATGATCCTAAGAAGTAAATTTCCTTTACTCACACTTCTGCTGACGTCTTCTCATGGCTCATTCTGGGCTGTGCTTTTCCCCTGTCTGTCTCGCTCATCACTGTGCTTACATCTATCTTCCCTCATATGGGATTATTGATAGCTTTTATCTTTTTATTATTTTCCCATTATGGATTTAGGTTCATCCTGTTTATGTTTCTAAATTTCTTTTCAGTGGCAATTGGGGAGGAAGTGAGTTGGGTACATATGCTTATCAAATATTTTGAATCAGAAGCACATCCCATCCACATTTAAAATTTCAATGTGATTTGGTGAAAGAAATCTATAGACAGGGTCAAGAAGTAAATCAGAAGACAGAGGTTTCTGATTTCAGGCTGGTGCGACTCAACAGAGTATTCAGAAAGGAGTGAGTTGTTCTTTTGACATTCTGAAAAGGGCTCTCCCTCCTTGTTGACCAGATTCTCATTTTATCTGAGATTTCTCTCCTTAGTTTCTTCAGTTTTAAGGTTTCAGTGGTCTCTACACTAAAATAAGTTGAGTAGGGAAGCCTTCTCCTTTCAGAGTTTTATCTTACTATTACAGCATAGAGCAGACTTCCCCTGTCTAAGTCCCGTCCCAGCTGTGTGGGACTGTGCTGCTTTGCTACCGTGAGGGTTCCTGACAATCGCCTCCCCTGCCGGAAGTTCCTCCCATTTCCGGTCTGCTGGTTGTATTCCTTCCAGCTGTATCTGAGTTCAAATAGATTCACTTTTTTCCATCTCTAATTCCTTCCAGAATCACTTACTTATATGTCATAGCTTCCTTACATTTATAATTCTGCTCACTTTTCTCTGTCACTGTTCTTTTCAGTGTGAGGTCCCCATAATTTGGCGTACTACAGCAGTCTGCTCTGACCATTGCCAATTGGAACAGGACTCTCTCTTTCTCCACTTAAACATATGGGGTCCAAGTTATTTTCTTATAGCCTAAACAAATATCAGATGTGTTCACCTGAAACCGAGGAGTCTTCTTCAGACTATCTGCCTGACGAAGAAAATATTGCCTTTACTAGTTTGCATTGATTGGATAATGCCACTGGTTCCAGGCTGATTTTACATATAAGTCTCTGGTCTAATTTTTTCCCTTTCAGTACCAAATAAAGAAATCGTCTCTTTCCCCCACTCTGATGCTGACAGCCAGCAGCATGAGGCCATATGAAGCTCAGCTGAGCTGACGCAATTGATTTCAGTCTTTCTGCCTGATGAATGGCTTTAAAAAGTAATGTGAAGTCTTTCAATGGTATTCCAAAGCCTAGAATATTGTCTTCCGTGACGAATTTCTCAGTGAAGTAAATGACTCTTCTATTTTTACAAAGCTCCCATGTCTCCCTTATTTCAGGATTAATACCACGTGCCAGGGAAGGTGACATCATCACAGATTCAGGGAACACGCTTTCTGTTGAAGTGCTGCTGGTCACATCTCTGAGACGAGAACAGAAGACAGCCGGCTCTCTTAGATTCTTGGTCCTGCCTCTGTAGGCCGTGGGTGATGTTGTGCAAATGGTCCTCACCGCTGCTCTGCTCCTCCTCCCTGCAGCTGGCTGAGGGAGCCTCACTGATGTCTGTGCAGAGAGGAAACTGTGACAAGAAGAGGCTAGACAATAAAAGAGGAAGACTCCTTCTTTCTAAACGTTTTTGAAACTTGTCAAAGCAAGGGCCTTGTCCAGCCCAACCTCCCCACCCCTATGGCTCTGAAGGCTCGGTGACCTCGGCTGCTGTCCCCCCGCCTCAGGAGCCCGCAGTGTCTCCAAGCTCAGCCAGGCTCCTACTGTTCCTCTCAGTGCCTGACATGATTCTTGGCCCACGTGAGCAACATTCCCTTTCCTTCCTTGCACAAAAGTGACAGGATGCAGAATAAAGACACCTTCTCTTAATAGGTAAGTCTGTCCTGGTCTCACCGACTCAGCATTGATGTTTCAGGAGGAACGGGAGCCCAGTCAGTGACCCAGCCTGATGTCCATGTGTTGGTCTCTGAAGGAGCCTGTCTGGAGCTGAGGTGCAAAGAGTACTCACCTCTGTTCCACCGTATCTCTACTGGTACCTGCAGCCCCCCAACCGGGGACCTCAGCTTCCCCTCCAGTACATATCAAAGGACACACTGGTTAAAGGCATCAAAGGTTTTGAGGCCGAATTTAAGAGGAGTGAAACCCTTTTCCACCTGAGGAAACTCTCGGCCCATGAGAGGGACACAGCCCAGTATGTCTGTGCTCTAATTGACACAGTGCCTGGGGCCGCAGGGGGAGCTGGGCACAAACCTTCTGCACCATTGGGACTTTTCATGGCTCAAGAACTCAAGAGAGAGTTTTCAGGAAGGTCTCTTTTTCTGTGAGGGCAAATGGTGCAGGACAGGCTGGGCTCTGGGGAGCGCTTGCCTCCTGAATTGCTGCTTCAACAGCAATGCTGTGCCACACTCAGACAGACTTTGCTCCAGGTGGAGGTCTTCGGATGAATTTCTCCAGGAGGGATGCCTCCCACCCATTCCCTACTCCACTCTCACTTGGAGTACATCAGAAATGTCAGAGTTCTGAAGTGAAAAAGGCAAGAGCGGTTTTATTTTAAAAAAATCATTTCTAGCATTCATCAAAGTAATTAACACTGCCTCAGGTGTTGATCTACATGTGCAAAGCTGAATAACAGTAAAATCTTGGCTTGCAAGCATAATTCATTCAGGAAACATGCTTGTAATCCAAAGCACTTGTATATCAAAGTGAATTTCCCCATAAGAAATAATGGAAACTCAGATGATTCGTTCCGCAACCCAAAAATATTCATATAAAAATGAATGCAATAATGTAATATAATACAAAACAAAAAGAAAATACAAAATATAAAGAAAAGTGAACAGATTAACCTGCACTTACCTTTGAAAACCTTCATGGCTTGTGTGAGGGAGGCAGCAGAGAGGAGGGTTAGTGTGTAGGGCGACTTTCACTATCACTAATGGAATCACTGCTATCCATTGGCTCACTGGAATCTTTCTCTTTTCTTGCAACTTTAACAAGGAACCTATTCAATGACGCTTGTTTTTGCCTCCTTTTGAGGATTCCAAAAAATGTTACGTTGCATTGTCATTAAACAGACTCATTGCTAGCACCGCAACAGCCTTATTCGAGTGGTGTTTTTGTACAAAATTTTGCACTATTTCCCACATTTTATACATCTCCCTTACCTCATGTGAAGTGAGAGATTCCTCCACCTTTTTATCCTTCTCCTCCAGATGAGATGCAGAAGTAGACTTCGTATAAAATCTTGCAATTTTGGCCACTTGCATAACTCGTTCATACTTCTTGGTGATTTCCTTATTAACTTCCACTGTAATCATCTCTTTCTTCTTACTGCCTTTCTTTTCAACCTTTTTCTGCATGGAGGTCATTGTATACACTTGCAGGGATGTTGACTACAGTACAGTATTAATAAACTCTTGCCATATACTGTATTTAATGTAACTGGCAATAAGGCAGCAGAGGAAAGGGTCTATATCTGCAAGCAGCCTGACCTAGAATGAAATGCATTTCTAAGCTTACTCTGTATGGAAAAGCAAAGGACTGCCCATAGGTGCTTTGAAGTGACAGAAAATACATTAGTGCCAGTGGTGGGCACCTTCCAACATTCTGAAAAATTACTGATTTCTGCCAAACACTGCAGCCTGAGACTGAGCATCCGAGCATGGGAGACAATCACCCACAATCCCTTAGCAAGAGAGAGAGACAGAGAGAGAGAGAGAGAACCATTGGCTCAGTTGTGATCATGTGACATTTGGCATCACGTACTACTTGTGTTGTGAGACATCACTTATTTATGAAGTTAAAATTTATTAGAAATGTTTGCTCTTCTTGCAGAACATGCACAGAACAAGTTACTTGCAATCCAAGGTTTTACTGTACTTGGTTGTAATGTTAGCTGACAAGCTGTGCCACATACATGCTCAGCTAGGGCAAATGTACAGCATGGATTCTTAATCAGTGCAACATAGACTCTCTGCATGGATTTGAAGCTTAACTTCTAGCACATATATAATGTCCGACTGTGTAACACTGAGATAGTTTAAAACAAATTAGACATCATGATATCTAGATTTCCAATCTTGTGTTACACAAAGCCAGTGGACCTATTTTACATGATTCTTAAAGCAATAATCAGGATCTAAAAACCACTCAGTTGTAATTGTTTTTTGAAATAGTTATCCCAGGGGCGCTTAGGTGGCTTGGTCTGTTAAGCTCAGGTCATGATCTCACAGTTCGTGAGTTCAAGCCCTGCGTCAGGCTCTGTGCTGACAACTAGCTCAGAACCTGGAGCTTGTTTCAGATTCTGTATCTCCCTCTCTGTCTGACCCTCTCCTGATCATGCTGTCTCTCTCTCTCTCAGAACTAAATTTAAAAACTAAAATAAAATGAAATAGTTATCCCAGTCATTTCCAAATTAAAAATTTGAGGCCACTAACCCATAAAATATCCGATATAATAAGCTAAACTGGTGAAAAACTCTTAGACATTTTGGAAGAAGTCACAGATATTCATAATATAAAATGACACATTCAACAAAGCTCTTAGTCTTTGAAAGCACATTAACAAAGTCTCTTCACTACCAAAGTTCATAGTATCAGAGATTACATTAACTCTAATGTAATGTAATTCTAATTCTTGGGCTATTCAAGACCAAGAAATATTTTTATTTCCTCTGAAACAACTGTATCAAAGAGTTCACATGTTTAAGATATTTTACATACATGATTATAACTGTAAATTGTTAATTGTGATTGATGTGATTAAAAACACTGCTCCCGGAATATTATAAAAAGTTTATACACAGAGAAATTAAGCCACCAAGAGCAGAAATTAATTTTGAAATTAATAATAGGGTAAGCAATCATGCTTTATATCTCCCAGCTTCTTTGTACATCACTGTTCATCTCCTCTTCTTCTTTTAAAAATATTTTTTTTAATATTTTTATTTATTTCTAGGAGATAGAGAGAGAGACAGCGTGAGCAGGGGAGGGTCAGAGAGAGAGGGAGTCACAGACTGGAATAGGCTCCAGGCTCTGAGCTGGCAGTCAGCACAGAGCCCGACGTGGGGCTCGAACCCACGAACCGCGAGATCATGACCTAAGCGAAAGTCGGACGCTTAACCGACTAAGCCACCCAGGCGCCCCTTAAAAATATTTTTTAATTAAGAAATTTCTTTATTTTTCTTTCTTTATTTTTTATGTTTATTATTAATAGACAGAGACAGAGAGAGAGAGAGCAGGGGAAGGGCAGAGAGAGAGGAAGACACAGACTCTGAAGCAGGCTTCTGGCTCTGAGATGTCAACACAGAGTCAGATGGGGGGCTCAAACTCATGAACCATTAGATCATGACCTGAGCCAAGACCAAGTGCGATGCCCAACTGACTGTGTCACCCAGGCACCCCAAGATTTTACTTTTAAGTAATCTCTACACCCAACATGGGGCTCAAACATACGACCCAGAGATCAAGAGTCACATGCTCGAACCAACCTAACCAGCCAGCTGCCCCATCTTCCCCCCTTTTATTTTCAACTGGGAGGCATCTCTATTCCAGTCCCAAGGTAATATCTCTACTTAATCTCCTGAAAACATTTCTTCGATCTTTTAAGGGTAAAGGAGAAAATAATCATGTTCTTATCAAATCTTTGTCTAACCATCCTCTGTTACAAGAAATATCTCCTTATTTCTGGATTCACTTTGTACTTCTTGGTGATGCTATTTGGGATATGAATACTCACCCTTTTATGTTTGTCTTTCCTGCAATACCACGATGTCTTGTGAGTAGTGACAATGTTATATTCATTTTTTAAAATTCCCTAAGACCTACCACAAGATCTAGTTTATTATAGAAGACTTTCAATAAATTGCTGTGGACTTCTCCTGAAATAGACTGGAGAAATTACATACAACTTTAGAAGGCACAATTTGACAAAATATTTTAGATATTTAGACCATCTGTAGATGGTCCTAAGGAAAGAATGGAATAGGGGTGAGGGCTCTGGGATTCTGGGGTTGATGAGCTAGTTGGTCTGATGGTTTTCGACCAGTGGGGAGCACTCTAGGCATTGCTCTCAGTGAGCAACTCTTTCTCTAGTTCTGAGATAGCAGAACGTTAGTGAAAACTTGAATGAGGGCTAGCAGCAGTTAGGAGAGCACCTGGACTAGTCATACCCTATAAGAACAGGGAGATCGCCATATATTCAGCCGCGAGGACAGTCTGTTGCCATGAGGGGTGTGACAGAGATGACTCGCAAGCAGAAATAAGCATCCCCTAGAGCAAAGGGAATGCTGGAAGCTCCAGGAAAAAGCCTCTATATTGCCTATTTAGTTTCGGTGTTTATGATTAAAAATTCTAAAATATGAACCTTTACTCTGACTTCACAATTATTCTAATGATTTCTACCTTCTTCTGAGGTAGATGATACCTCTTCTGAGATTAGAAAAACAGGGAGAAAGGAGATGAGAAGATGAAATGATAGAAAAATAATGAACATAGGTAGAGAGAGGGGGAAAGAGAGTGAAGAGAAGAGAGACTAGGGAGAAAGAAGGACATCTTTATTTGAATTTCAAAATGTGGCCCATATTTCATAGCTACAGATCAGAATCAGTGAGGTGTTCCTGCAAAGGACATGGGGAAAGCACCAGACAGGAGAAGAAGGGAGATAGAAAATGAGGTCAGGGTGGCCATGAAACACACGTTCTATTTCTTTCCATCACCCAAAGTCTTGTTGGAGACACTGTATTTGTTCATCATGACCATTTACACAATTATCCTAATTCCATTTAATTATATTTACTCCTTTAAGGGGATTGAATAAATAAACAACACATTCAATGATGTATTCTGTCTTTGACAGAGCTTTCTTATAAGTGAATTCTCAATCACTTTTCTTTTTCTTTTTTTTTTTTTTACAAATAGTTTATTGTCAAATTAGTTTCCACATAACACTCAGTGCTCATCCCCACAAGTGTCCTCCTCCATGCCCATCCCCCCCTCAATCACTTTTCAAACTATGTGTCCTGAGTTTTGACTAAGGAAATTGGGTCACTGACCCTGATAATTTTTTCAATCTATACTTGACCCAGAGGAGGCTTTAGTTTCTCTCTGAGGTTTCCTTTCCCTTTCTTTACTCCCCTCTTGACAAGTCTAATACAGGGGCAGTCTATGTGGAGGGGCAAGCCTACGAGAATGAAGAACCTAGGTGTTTCTGTGCCCATGGTCTGCAATGTAGCAGATGACAGGACACTGATACGGCAGTAATGTCAATACCCTGCTGAAAAACTAAAAGGAAAAAAAAACTTCTCTCTGATCTCCTTGTACTCCTCTTCATTAAGGACAGATGGGATCCAGCCTACCTGTTACTTTCTTTTCAGCTAGTTGGGCGCTAGAAGAAAGGCTTTCTCAAGAGAATAGTTTCCTTCTTAGAGGTCTACTGATGTCTATAGGCCAAGCTCTCTTAATGATCCATAGTTTTCTGCTTTGCATCCTGGAGTTCCCTGATACCTGGCCCCAGATTTATATGTGACCCCAAATAGGATTCCTACTTGAGCTCTCTTGGCATAGCTTGCCTGGTCACCACAGGGGCTCCTTGGCTAAGCACAGGCAAGCAGGGACACTTTCAATCTACCATCTTTCAAGAATTGCCTCCTTGGTAGGCCAAATGGTTGTTCCTTTGTTAATGGCCAGTTAAAAAAAAAAACAAAAAACTTGTAAAACTAAAATTCTAAAGGGCCATTTCTTGGCCTGGGAAAGGTCAGAATCAATGATGATGGATGGAACATAACTTAATCAAGTAATGTTTAAGCATTTCATTAGCATACATGTAGAGAAGTTTAAATTTGTATGAAATGTGATTTATCTCTTATGCTTTCTAACTGTCATGCTTAAACAATCTATGATCATCCTAAATTTATAACAAAAGAGCTCATCTTTTATTTTAAAATATTAAATATTATTTCACTTGGAATTTATTTTGTAACAGATATTAAGGTAGACATCACATTTATTTGTTACTTTCTAAATCATTCTCCATTTATGAAGGCATATTTAATTTTTTTATCTTTTCCCCATTTTTATTATAACTAAATTTCCATAAGTAATTTGTATATTTGAACTTTGTATTCCATTCCATTGGTCTCTCTACCTGGACCTTTATAGTAACATGCTATTTTAACTAGTATAGCATTATACTCTGTCTTATTAACTGTGGAGGAAAATCCCTCCTCATTCTGTTTTAGAATTTCAAGGCTTCCTGAAGACTGAGATTACCTGCTGTATCAAATTTGGCCTCTAGAGGAAGATGTTATATAAATTGAACTTGGTAGAAAGCCGGAAAGCACCCAGCTCTTTGAGGAAGAGCTTTTGTTTTACATGCTGGTAAACTCACAATTCTGTCAACATTCATGTTGCTGAATTGTTTCCAGAAAAGAGCCTCCCGTTTCCCTACAGCTCAGACATGATGGCCATCTTCCTCTCTGTATTTGTGACAATGTTCACACTCAGTGAGTACATCCCTTTTTATTCTCTTTCTCTAGTCTTCTGATTTCGAATCAGTTAAAGGTAATATTCTTCTCAGTCTACAAGACTCTCCCTGATCCTGAATTGCTGTTACAGGAGGAATAGGAGCTCAGAAAGTGACCCAGCCCGAGGACCACATCTCTGTCTTCAAAGGGGACCCAGTGCAGGTCAAGTGCAACTACTCATATTCTGGGAGTCCTGTGCTCTTCTGGTATGTCCAGTACCCCAAACAAGGCCTCCAGTTACTCCTGAAACACATCTCAGGAGGAAGTGTCAAAGGTTTCACAGCCAGTCTTAACCAGCGTGAGACGTCTTTCCATCTGAAGAAACCGTCAGCTCAAGAGGAAGACTCAGCCATGTATTACTGTGTTCTGAGTGACACAGTAACTGATTTCATAACAGAAGCAAAGCACAAACCCTTCAGGAGTTAGAGAAAATATTTCTGTGTAAGTTCTCTGTATCGCCACAGTGGGGCATTCTTTCTCTGGACACTGACATTGAGTTTACCTCTTAGATATAATATCATCAGTTGTCAATTAGCCATAGATTAGCTTCAAAAATGTGCTCAAGGAAATTCCCATTATCTACCTTGTCTCATTAGTTTTAAAGATGTACATGTATTTATTCTGTCTAGTAGTACCTGGAAAAAAAGACTTTTGAAATGTAGACTATATAGCAAAGTATAAAAACCATTTTTTTCTTGGCCTAAGTCAACTCTCCAGTGGTCGGGTTTCACTTCTCTGCCGCCCCAAACCACCTGCATATGCTCATCACCACATACCTAAGCACATTAAAAGTTACTCTTAAAAGTTACTCTGTTGTTTCCTGGCGTGTGACTGCTGATCCCTCTGCCTGAGGCCTTTCCTCTCACGCACGTTATGAACTCCTCCTATCTCAATCAGGGTCTAATCAGAAGAAAAAACACCCCCAGTAATCTAAACAAGGAAACTTTAATACAAATATTTATGTATTGATAATAGAGAATGAACTACTAATGAATAAAAAGAACTCTAAAGAACACAGAAATAGCATAAGTAGGGAGAAGTCCTTATCTTAGGACCTAGCCAGACGTCCCAAGTAGTGACATATGGTAATACATACCCCCAGGGATTCAGATCTCATTGGGGAATGTGTGGCTGTAGCCTGCTGGATGGTGGAGAAGTTTACTAAGACAAAAGATTGCCAGAGAAAAAGACTGGCAAGCAGGACCACGTCGACCTGGGTTCCAACAAAATGTATAGGAAGCTAGCAAAGGAGTGCTGCTGAACTTCCTGGAGGCACTCGTGAACTTGCCAGAAAGCCGATGGGGGGGGGGCTGTTGCTGAACCAGGCGAATGTCGCTGTGTCCCACAGGCTGGCCAAAAACTGCAGGAACAAGAAATGTGAAGACATACCAGAACCAAGAAGAGAAGTTTCTTCCTCCCGCAGGGTCTTTCGAGGTTCCTCTTATTGATGGTCTTGATATTATGCCAGCCAGTGAAGAAGAGATGTTCACAGGTTCTGGGGCCAGGATTACAAATGGGGGACTGAAGGGTGGATTTGGCAATAAGAGAGAAAGGCAGTAAGTTGACAATCGGCACACTTTATCCATCTGATCTTTCATATGTACCTCTGCACACACATCTAACTTCGAAACAACAATGAAATGACTATATTTCCATGTAACAAGCTAAAGCTATCCTTGAACAAGAGAAGTTCTTACCCTTTCCCCGAAAATGAGGAGATCTATATTTACTATACATCTCTTGCTATGTTAATCATTTCTAAAATTCAGAGGACATACCACTGAATATGCTGTTATATACAGACTAAATTATAAAGTTTATCTTTGACAATTTATATATAAATTAATGATGAGAAGGAAGGAAAAAGAAGAAAATGGCAGCATATACAAAAGAACACACACGTATAAAGTACAAAGAGAAAATGTAGAAGCTGCTACACTATTTGATTCCAGATTTGTTCATGAGGTTGCAGCTGTCACAGAGAGCTCCCTTCTGTTACTACCCATTTTTTAAATGTTTATTTATTTGTTTTGAGGGAGAGAGAGAGAAAGAGAGAGAGAGCAATCAGGGGAAGGGCAGAGAGAGAGGGTGAGAGAATCCTAAGATAGTGGGAGTGATAGGGTGATAGAATCCACTGTCCGTGTAGAGCCTGATTCAGGGCTCAAACTCACGAATCATGAGATCATGATCTGAACTGAAATCGAGTTGGACACTTAACTGACTGAACCACCCAGGTGCCCCATGTTATTACCCTTTTTTTATTTCCCCTGGTCTCGGCCATAATCTCACTGATACTGTGGTTATTTGCCTTGGAGGGTGACCCAAAACTTCATTCTCAAAGTGTCTGAGTCCTCAACAACCCTGCCTTTTCATTTGTTGCTGTAGTTTTCCATTAACACTTAGAATGCAAAGTTTCCCTGTCACTATCTAAGCTCACAGTTCTCCCCAGAAGACATCGGAGTCTCTGTTTCCTTTTTCTGTGTCTCCACAGACTTTTAATGTATACAGCCAAATAGATACAAATAGTAAGAGAACTAGACTCTCTTGAGGCAGTGGACAAGTCCCTTAATTTCTTAGAGTCAGGGGTCATCTTTTTAACCACTAGTCAAAAATTTCCTCACAAATTGTTTCAAAACTATGTAGAAGAGAGCAGACAGACTAATATGTAAACTTCTTAAATAACATCAGTTCCTTGCTCAAAGAGCTTTAATATTTCTTTGTCTCATAGTGACAGACAACCAGGTTTGCTGTGGCAGTCACCCGACACAAACCTTCTAGAAGTACTTCCTAGCACTCTCCAATCATCAGTCCACAATCTCTTCCCTTCTTCCTTTCTTCCCTTCCTTCCTTATATTTCTTTCTTCCCCTCTTCCCTCTCTATTTTACACACAAAAGATCTTAAAGTCCATCCTTGAAAATATTTATCCAATACTCTAAAGGATGTCCCCCAATCCTTTTGACTGCTCAACATCAGGGCCCATTTGCTTATAACAATAATAATTTTTGAATCATTAGTAAGTGTCCGGCTCTGCTCTACATAGCATTTTATTATCTCATCAAGAATTTTCAAAACTCTAAAAAGGTAGAATTATTACTCATCATCCATATTTTACACTCAAGAGAATATAGACACACATGATATAAACAGCTACTGAATGGGTAGGTCTAAACCTGACCTCAATGGCCTGACTGCAAAGTTTGTTCCCTTCTCGTACACTATTGCCTCTTGCCGTAGAAACAGAAATATCACATACTCATTGTTATGAAAGGAGTGGTCTCCCCACCCCGATTCGTGTGTTGAAGTTCTAACCTCCAGTACCTCAAAGTGTGACTGTATTTGGAGATACGGTTACTAAAGAGGTAATTAAGTTAAGATGGGATCGGTAGAGTAGGCCCTAACCCAACATGGCTGGTGTCCTTATGAGGAGAGGTTAGGATCCTACAACATACGCAGAATAAGGACCGTGTGAGAACATGCCGGCGAGCTGGGCACCATTGCCTTGTAATTTTTTCTGAATCGCATTTCTTTACGTTTCCAGAGCCCATTCTGTTGGCAAGATGATGTTGCTGCCACAAGATGGCGGTGCCTCTCCTCAGACTCCCTTCCTTTGAAACCAGTATGTGTGTACTGAAAGCAAAGGCCTGGGTTTGCCTCTGATTGGCTCGGTGAGACTCTGGGTTCCAGAGGGAAGACATAAATACACCCCAGAAAGAGAGCTGACTGTTTTGAATGAGGATCCTGGCTGCACTTCAGGCCCCAGAGCCGAGTCTCCTGTGATCCCAGTGAGGAAGCAGAATGGAGAAACTCCTGGCAGTGTCTTTGGTGATCCTATGGCTTCAACTGGCCAGTGAGTTGGGGCTCTTAGTAATAGAAACAGGGTGACCACAGTGATGGGAACAGGGTGCCCAACGTTCGGAGCCCTCAAGACTGAGGGAAAGAGTCTTCCTGTTAAGCTGAAAATGTACCAGAAAATCAGGGAAGGAAATGTAAACACCAGAGAGTGAACAGACAGTGACTGACTCCCGGTGTCTGGCCTTCTGTTTCTGCCTAGGGGTGAACAGCCAACAGGAACGGGACCATCAGACCCTGAGTGTCCAGGAGGGTGAAAACGCCACCATGAACTGCAGTTATAAAACCAGTATAAACAATTTACAGTGGTATAAACAAGACTCAGGCAGAGGCCTTGCCCTGCTGATTTTAATACGTTCAAACGAAAGAGAGAAAAACAGCGGAAGACTACGAGTCACACTGAACACCTCCCTCAAAAGCAGTTCGTTGTCCATCGCGGCCTCCCAGACTGCAGACACCGCTACCTACTTCTGTGCAACGGAAGCACAGTGCTCACCAGGCACCTGCAGCCTTTTCACAAACTCTGCCAGACCTGCCTCTTAGAAGCCCTAGAGTGGGTAGCATTAGTGGTTATGTCTGCCCAAAAAGGAGAGTCTACGAAAAGTAGGCAAGATGAAAAGTGAACCTTCTCAAATTCATGATTTTTTGGGGGGGGGGGGGGAATGTCTTGTGCCAGGACAGAGGGTATGAAGTTTAGAATGAGAAACTGTAATACCAGGTTCAGATCTGCCAATACTGGCTGTATGGCCTCGGGCACATCATCAGCGTAGCAGCCTTCTATGTCCTTTACTTGAAAAGAAAGACTTGGATAGATGAGCCCAAAAGACCCGTCAAGTTCCAATTTTATTAGGGAAAAAGCTAAGCACTGGACACTTGAGGATGAGGAAAGACTTCTCAGAATTAGAAGGTCTCATATGGACAACCTCCTGGTGACCTAGATGGGTGCTTGAGATGTGTGAGATGATTTTCACATTCCTCTCATTCCTGCACAGAAAAGACAATTAGAAAGAATCTTAGAACTGTTTCAGCCAAATGTTTCCTTTTAAAGCTGAGGAGTGGAAACATTGTGTGCCGATGGAGACAAAGATCCAAAGCTCATTTTGCCACGTATTAGTTGTGTGCTTTCCAAGTTTCAATCTCTCCATTAATAAAATGAGAACATACAAGAAAGTCATAATTTTTCCCTGTCCAAGTGAGAGATGCATGTTCAGGCCCTGAAATTTTGTTTTTAAAAAATGGGTACTTCTATTATCAAATACATAGCAATTTTTCACTCATTTGTGTCTTGCTCCTAGGAAAATAAATACATGTTGAATATAGTTTTCAAGTATAATTCAAGTATAATGAACATACCGTGTTATATTAGTTTCAGGTGTACAATATAGTAATTCAATGATTCTATACATTACTCAGTGCTCATCATGATAAGGGTACTCTTAATCACCTTCACCTATTTCCTCCATCACCCCACCCACCTCCTATCTGGCAACCATTAGTTTGTTCTCTATAGTTAAGTCTGG